GAATCTGCAGTGGATGCCATCCAAAGCCTATCTCCAGAAGCAAGCCAAAGGTCAGGGGTCTGCTCTGAAAGGGAGGAGGGAGGAGAGATGGGGCGGAGCGCGGGGGGGCGGGCGCTGCAGAGGTTGTGCCCCACAGGTGGCCTGGCCAGCTGCTAGCAGGCCTGTGCATCAGAGGTGCTGCCGTCTCCACTGGCTGTTTCCAGGTCGACCAGACCTGTCTCTTTGCTTTGCAGCCGTCAAGAAGAAGGAGAAGAAAACCAAGTTGGTGGAGAAGAAAGAGAGCCAGGCTGGGAAGAGCCCGGCAGAGCCTGCCCAGAAGGCCCCCACCCCTCAGCTCCTTCTGGTGAAAGAGAATCACGCCCCCAAAAGGGGCCCGGAAGCGGCCCGGAAGCCTAGCGAGGAGAAGGCGACCGAGGAGGGGGCCCCACCACTGCCCCCACTGCTGCCTCTCCCGGAGCCCAAGCAGGCCCCTCCCCCCACCGTTCGGAAAACCAGCAAGCAGCCCCCACCCCCCGCACAGGCGGGTTCGGGGCCCCTGCTGAGCTCAGGCCCACCAAAAAAGGACACTTCCAGAGTCGTCCCTGCGGAGCCCAAGAAAAAGGTGCCCCTGCCACTGGAAGCAGGTACGCCTGTGCTGTTCTGCCAAGGAGGGGCAGGGCAGGGCAGGGCAGGGCAGGGCAGGGCAGGGAGCCCCCGTGGCGCTAGCTGGGAGGCGGTGGGATGGGCCGGAAGAGAGATAGACCCGAGAGCCTCCTTGGTCATGCGGTGGAGGAAGAAGGATGCTGGCGAGTGGCAGGGCCTCAGCGTGGCCTCTTGCCCTCCGTAACTCCTTGGCCACGTTGGTTTGTCTTTCACTCCCACCGACCCCCTCCCTGCTGTGGCCCCCACCGAGGGAGCATCAGTGGCTGGAGCCGAGGGAACCCCTGGCCCAGGCGTCCTTTCGGTGCTCTTTGAGAGGCAGAGAGAAAGGGGGTGGGGGTGCCCCCTGTGGCAGGCAGTCTCCCTTGGGCACCTGATGCCAAGGGGAGGGTGAGCAGAATGTCCTGGGCAGGGTTTCCGCGGAGGGGGGGCAGACTGGGTCCAGCTTCCATCGAGAAGCCCCCGGGGTCCCACAAGGCCTTTGGAGGGAGAGGTGGCCTGGCTCTCTCCGCTCGTCCTGGGTGCAAGGCCAACCCCTTTGTGTGTTTGGCAATAAATGCCGGACAGGCGAACAGAAAGCATCAGAGGGAGGCTGCAGGGCCCCGCCACTTGCTCTGTGTCTACAGGAGGGGAGGGATGGTAGGGGACCCCAGAGAACGGAGGTCAGGCTTGGTTCTCCTTCGCCCGGATTGGCGGCCGGTCACGGTGGGTGTCCCAGGGGCTCCTCTAGACGCGAAGGCAGGGTGGTGCGCTGTCTTCTCTTTCTGCAGCAGTGTCTTCAGAAGCTGCTGTTTTCTGAAGGCCTGCAATTCCTCTTGACATCCAGAGGCGGCTCTCAGCTTGTAACCGAGCGTTCTTCTTTTCCTCCTAGCTCTTGAGCAAAGCAAGCCGAAGAAAATCGCTCCTCGTCCAAGTCCGCCCGTAAAGCAGAAGCCGAAAGAGAAGGTCAGGGGATCTCCTGCTTTGGCTTCAAGGGAGGGAGTGGGCGGGGGGGGCCCTTCTAGCCACGATGAAGGAGCCCTTGCAGAGACTCCTCTGTGGACCGACCCACCCCTGCGGTGGCTGTTGGGGGACAGACAGATGTTTGAAAAAGGTGGCTTGCCTGGGAATCGCCTCTGGCCCAGAGCTGGCCGGTGGTGTGTCTTGAGTATTTTAAGAAGAGGGAGTAAGTCATGGCGAAGCTCCCAGAGCGGTGTGTTTTTTGGTAGCAGCGAAGCAGCTGCGTGGCAAGAGTTGTGGCTCGGATTCAGCCTATGAACGTGCCACCACTGAAAATATGCTTAACCCTGGTTCTCTTTTTGGTCCCCGAGCAGCAGAGAGCCTGGGGTGTGGAAAGGGACCCATCTGGTGCTCTGCCTCTCCAGGAGAAGCCCCCTCCCACCAGCAAGCCGGAGAGCATCTCGCTCAACTCGCTGAGCACTTCGTCCAGCAGCGGCGGCGGCGGCGGCAGCTCCTCTAGGCAGAAGCCCTTGACGGACGGCGTGCACAGGATCCGAGTAGACTTCAAGGTAATTGGGCAGCTTTAGAGGTTCCTGGTTGCCTTGGCAGAGGAACTGCAGCCAGCAGGCCAGGGATCATCCCGAGCGTCCCAAGGCTCCAGGCAGCAGAAATGGGCAACCAGGAGGCAGGCAGAGGGGGCTGTTGGTAGCCACCGGAGTGGGACCCCCAGGGTGGCTCTCCCTCCCCCCCCCTTTCCTGCAACCAGTGCCCTGGCGGGGCCTGCCTGAGAGCTGCCCCTGTCTTCCCACGGCCTTTCCTTCTCCTTCCTAGGAGGACCGCGAGATCGAGCACGTCTGGGAGGTGGGTGGCCTGGGCATCCTGACCTCCATCCCGATCACGCCCAGGGTGGTCTGCTTCCTCTGCGCCAGCAGTGGGCACGTGGAGGTAAGGAGCTGGAGGAGGTTTGTGGGGGTTGGACACTGGGGGGGCGGGGGGGGCGTCCTCAGCAAACCCCCACCGGTCAGTCCCTTTGAAAGGTTGCTGGACGTGTTGCCCCTCCAAGCAGCAAAAGCAAGCTAAGGACTCCTGCCTGCAGTCGTTTCCGACTCCCTTGGGTGTCACCTAAGCCTGTCCGGCACCTGATGCTCCCTGGGGGAGGGAGTGCGCTGGAGGGTCGAGGGGCTGGTAAGTGGATGGGGGGGGGAGCCAGCTAGCCCGCCCCTGCCCAACGGGCTCTCTCTCCCTCCCTCCTTCCCTCCCTCTCTTTGCTTGCAGTTTGTGTACTGCCAGGTGTGCTGTGAGCCTTTCCACCGATTCTGTCTGGAGGACGGTGAGCGCCCCCTGGAGGACCAGCTGGAGAACTGGTGCTGCCGCCGCTGCAAGTTCTGCCACGTGTGTGGGAGGC